CTAGGAAGAAAAAGCCTTATTTGCCTAACTTCCGTGCCGCCACATTGTTCTGATATAATTTCTATTGGGTAAACGGACAGCCAATAGCGAAGAAGTAACCGGTAAATTTGAAATAAACCAGCGACGCGCGGAACTTTAAAATTTCACTTCCCATCTTAGCACGCTTTTAATTTATTAAAAAATTCACAATAATAATTATAAGGATTTCATGGAAGAAAAAAAGTCAAATCAGGGTAGTAAAATTAGTATTTATTGAGCATATTGATATTAACAATTCGTAATTTCATTAGTAATAACAATTTTGAATTACAGAAAGTAATAAATAGTACACCTGCAAATTTATATTTGCTTGTAGATGCCAAATTAATACTATGGAATACTACATTATTACAAGCGTTATGAATAACAATAAGAACAGAATTGAAAAGAAACAATGTCACATGAACGTATTTTGTTTTCTTTATTTTTTCGAAGTAAGTTTTATCAGAATATTTGAGCATTGTTCCACTTTTAGCAGTAGTGCAAAAAATTGAGCTTTTAGCATGCTCTGCATACCTTGAAAGAACCGCTTTTACTAGTTTGCAACCCTAAAAATGTTTTTCATTTGTCAATAATATTTGACAAAATATTTAATTTAGCCATGCTAATCTCACATGCACAGTTCAGAGCCTGCTTTTTTAAAATGGGATCCACTGAGAAAAGTACATTCACTTTTAAAACAAGTGATTTACAAATAGTGGAATTCCATCAATGCTTATGCACTACAATTTAATGCTGAAAATGGATTTGTCAAAGTGCAAATATTGATTGTACCAGGAGCAAGCCTGGACCTTCTGATAACTGGGCAGATGTCCTAATAATTGAGCTATAGAATCAAGCATTGCATTCACGACTCTTAACAATTCACAATCTAATAAGGATCAGCATTCAATCCAGAATGTAATTGGCATGACGATGAACAAAACACAATGATACACACATACTAGAATATACATGAATCAAGATTGTGTTTGTCATGAGAAACAACTATTGTCAAACAGTATAACAATACATAGCAACTTTATATCAATACTGATAATAAAAATTAATACTAATAGAAAGAAAAAAAATGCCAGACTAGATAATAGACATAAAAAAAATTCTAAAATTTGCATGAAAATAGCCCCTAAAACAGAAACTCAAACCTTTGTATTCTAATATTCAAATAAAGTGTCTTAAACATAGCAAGAGGCATTCCAAAAATGAGAAATGATCATGCTTTACAGAATAAATTTTATCTTTAAATTTTACTTAATTAAACTTTTTAAAATCAGATGTGGGAATACAGTTTATATAATGGATCTGTACCAAATGAACAGAAATACACACTGATTTTAAAACTCTCGCTGTTCATACCTTTACAAACTGTCAGAGTAAAGAGATATGTTCAGAAACTTTGGTGCACAATGAAGCAAGTCATTCACTGCACATAACAATAATTCTTTAAAATTTCTCTCGAGTCTGACTCCTCAAAGTGAACATTAATTTAAAGCCACTTAGGTCAAACTCGTAGGGTTAATATGCATGTTTAAAGCCATCTCTGGAAGAGGATCTGAAAGCAAAAATGCTGTTAAGAAAGATACTATGTTCTCAAATGAATGTTCTGAAAACAAATCTGTATCAAAAAGAAAAGGTTTCTTTTAATTACCATCTAGAATACAAAATTAGAAGACATCATAATATTGTGCACTTACCACACACCGAAGCGCAGCATTCAACTCCCAGAATGGGCTTCTTGCACCTTCCAGAAGTAGAAGGATCTTTAATCACCAAAAATTTTTTATTTACTATAATTTGCCCTCAATTGGCACTAATAACTGATATATGATAGGAACATACCATGAGAAACGTCCATAAAACGTCGTGACACCTCACATGGGTGAAAAGATCTGAAAATGAGACAAAACTTGAAATCTATCCCATCTTCAAATAAATGCAACAAAGTAATTTGAGATCCTTACGAGTATTATAAAAATATTTACCTTTCATAAGGCTAGAATACGCATCTGCTGCACTTGCTCACAGCATGCTCAACAGCACTAGAACCTGTATTAATCAACAAAGTATTACCAATACATTATGCTTTCAATAGAATGCTTCTTTTTGCATGTTAAAAAACATACAAGAGACTTACCATTTTCAGTTTGAAAAAGCTGCCTGTGTACAAGGATCTGAAATTAAAAAATGCTGGTATCATAACCTCCCATCAAACTATATATTCTACTAAAACTATAAAAATATCTTATATTAAAACTGTATTCTAGTAATATTCTATTAAAAAAGTCATACAAATTACACCCATAGCTATAGTGGGTGTCACCTCGCTTGGTCCAAACAAGGATCTGCAACTGAACATTAAAAAAAATTCCACCATTTATTACGCAACCATTATCTTCTCGAAGCCAAATGCCCGCTTCGGACTTCAAACAGCAGTAAATCACTTCATTTATTTAAATCACTGACTGCGATATGCGTTAACAGCCCTCGAACGCACGTGAATATACAACGATAGTCAAACGAGGAATGGAATCAGGCCGGTGCACTCAATGTTAAAAGTGGGGACTAAGTTTGTTTGCCTCACTCACCCGACCTGGTTGCAGATAGCGCGCTGTTGCGTTTCTGGCGGCGATTTTCAAAGTAAGTTGTGCGAAATTATTGTGGCGCGTGTAGATATTATTCAAGAGTATTAATCCTGCTTTTCTTTATGATTCAGATTACTTGACATAAATAATATTTTAAATAATTGTATTAGATGTTCTATACTTAAAACCAAAATTGTAAAAGTGCATTTACTTATCCTTAATTACCTTAAAAGCAGAAAAAAGTAAAACATGAAGTTTAAAATTGATATCTTTCCTTATTGTTTTAGTTGTTTTTTTCACATAGATACTATACATTTGAGGTCTGCTGCAATAACGCCCTAACCCACCAAAATCTTAATGGTACTATATTCATCACTTCTCATGTTTCACGTTATGGAATTAAGCTTTGTAGCAACACCTGTGCAGCACGGGTCAGAAAAAGAATTCTTTATCAAAAAAATCCTCTTACTCTGTTTAAAAATAACTTATGTTCACAAAAAACTTACAACAATATTTAGACAGTTTTGAAATATAAATTCTATTTCAATAGTTGTTCTGTTTCCTTCCCACTGTAAATGGTCATTGTTACCACATATACACGAGGAAAAAGGTTTAACATTATTAAAATAATAAGATTAAATTCCGTTTTTATTAGTGTTTTACAATATTAAATTTTTTAGTGATATCAATAAAACTCCATTTTTATTAATGCTTATCTTCCTCTAAGATTGTTATATTTGTGCATTTAGCAAACAATTTTACTCCAATCTGAACTTACAAATATGCTTGAAATTTATCGTGTTTTTTCCTGAAACAAGCTCGTGTGTTGTATTGTTCCTAAATTTGGCTATTATCTACAACAATGAAATGCCTTAGCATAAAAACTAATATCATCAAGTCCATTATAAATAACTAACTACAAAGTGTTTATTGTCATTTCATAAGCACGTTCATTTTAATGTATATTACATTGTATTTTTTCTCGAAATTCTTCAATTATGTAAAAATGTTAAAAAAATATATATTCGTTGTTACTTAACTTGTAATTGATTTAATCTTCCATCTCTATAACGTTAATATTATGTAATCATTTTGAAAAATAACTAAATCAATATTTTTAAAAAGTTATCATTGTTATAAATCATGATTGGAAATCATACCGCCTTAATTTTTTGGTGAACTTATATAGCCGAAAATAGAATTGTAATTTTGATACAATATCAGATCATTGTTATTTTGGTAAACTTCAAAAACCAAGGAAATGAAACAAATTTATAAATTATACTAGTTTATGTTTGCAAGTTGATTCGTCTTGTAGTTAGTAATAACATAACCAGGTAAATATGCTTTAGTTTCTGGATTAAAGAGAAATTGCATTGTTTACAAAAAAAATCTATGAAATGAAAACTTTGGTGGGAAGATAAAACAATTTTAATTTGCCAATTTCTGCCCTAGTTTAGCAATCTTAACTTGTAAAACAAATAACTGGCACAGATTTCTTTCTTTTAGCGCATAAGTATTTTTATTTTCTATAGTACCTGATTGGTTACACATCATGACCAATATTTTCACAAATGCCACACCACAAACTGATCCTCATTAAACCTACACATGGGCAGAACAATACTGGAATTGTTACCGAATGACAGAATTTTACGTAATAAGTAGAAAAATTGCATAGATTTAACTATTAATTATCAATAATATTTATTACAGGATTTATTGTTAGATGTTTCAATTTAGCAATTCAAATTTGGCTACATTTATTAAAAAATCATCTATAATATAATTAACCTTCTTAGCACTGAAGTATGTGAAATATCCAAAAAGTATTATACCTAATCTTAATATTTTAAAATAAACATTAGATATTTAGGTATATATTATTGTACACACAGTTTTTTTATTAACATTCGAAAAGAAAGTTTTTAATTGTTCACATTCAAAATTGTTTTGATTATTGTATTAAACATATTTCCAGTGCTTGTTAGGAAAGTTTTTCTAAACAAGGCAATATATTCGAAAATATATTCATCTGAAAATAATGATATTTGTCTAAATATCGAGACTAGCAGCACTTTGCAGCATCAGGGAAAAAGATTTCACTGGCACACTATTGTATATAGAATTTCTTGAAATTTCTTTGAGAAACAACAGGGCGGGCTTAGTAGGAAACACTGTTGATACAATTCCATCTTCTAATGTTAGTGAAGCGAATTCGTTTGATCTGCAGTTACCATACTGCAACACGAAGATCACCTCAAACCAAGGGGAATGGAAACGTAACTCGTACACCTAAGCAAATAAAACTTAATTACAATTTCATATACATTAATGAGAGTTACCTATTCTAGAAATGCAAACAATAATGAATACTTATATATATTTGAAATTAACATTTTGAATACCAGGATATTGCAAAGCAATTATATAGGATTACAATGACATATTACAAAACGTGTCATACCCATTCGAAATTATAATAACACAATACTTTTAAACAAATAGAACAGGAATAAGACATTACAGCGTTAGGTGACTTAACCTATATGGATTTTACGGATTTTTAAGACTATTTTTGCATGTGTAAATGTTCACAAATTAAATAATTATATTACAATTATGCAACAAATATTTCCAAAATGAATTACAAATACCTCCACTGCTGGTAGTGAAAATTCCTAGCAAGACTGACTTGTCTAGCACCAGTTTTCTTAATAATCATCGCCAAAATTACGTGAAAACAAAGTGTTTAGACATGACAAATAAACTATCGCGACATAATTCACCTTTTACTTACAATGGCACGACATTCTACATGACTAAAAAAACGCTGAAAAAATTCGATAAAAATGAGCACCTACCTGCTGCAGTCTGCACGTAAGAAAAAACAAACACCGCCTACTGCCAGCTTTTTAATTGCATGACGTCACACGTTTAGTTCGGCTCACGTGGAACTGTTGTAGATTGCGCCAAAAATCATTACCCCGTTTACCGCCAAGTTTCCCTACCCTGCGAGAATCCAACGTAATCAACTGGCTCGTTTGCGAAAAAATTTCAAAATGAATAATAGTTCACATATTCTCCGGTTGAAGCGAGTTGGTGTTGTACAGATGTATATGGCGTCGTCTGAACTCTGGCTACCGTATGGAATTTGAATAAGGACCGGATGATTGTCCTATATAGCTGATTACACCCACTGAACTGGAACTCTTGTGGGACGACTTGTAAACGGACAAACTCAAGGTGCGGTCGTTATGACAGAAATATGTTTAATAGCTCATTTCATTGTTCCTCCAGTTATTCAAACGCAGTGAATGATGGACTGAATGATATTTGATTAGATGTTATCTCCAAAGAATTCAATACTACAGCTTCCTTGGAATCAACTGCGAAGTAGAGTGGGCGGTAAAGTTGAACACAAGCTGGCAAAGAAACGGTTCTTTATAAAAGTAAATTTCAATAATATAAAATAACAAAAAGAATCAAAAGATTTTTAACTGTGAAAAAAAGCTTATGATAATTAAAGAATAATGAAATGTCTCTTCACTTATTTCACAAACTACTGATTTATAATTTATCACATGGAAATTTTATTAATATAATTATTATAATATCTATAATTTAACTATAATATTCAGAAATAAGAACAATAAACACATGTGAGTACAAGACTCAAAAAAGCAGACAGAAAATTCTTATCTTCAGGAGTAAAATTTTTCAAACAAATTGCCAAATGAAATAAAAAATCAGAGCAAATTCAAAAAAACTCCAAAAATACTTAATATGCTACTTAAAATCATACAATTTACAAACAATCATTAAAATACCCAACAAGAATATCCAAAATACTAGCACTGCTATAGATCAAATAATAATATATGCAAATAACCATTTTTCTGTTGCTACCATTTAATACAGGTTTCAGTGACCACATTGACCAGATCTAACACTTCCAACAGAAACAAAAATCGCGGAACAGACAACTTACAAGAGAAATTTGTAAACTATCCCAAGGAAACATAATAAAATTTCAAAACTTGCTCAGATTTGAAAACTGGAATGAAGTATATAGGCAACCGATACAAATGATAAGTTTAACTCATTCATAAATATATACTTAAGACATTTCAATGCCATTTTCCCTCCAAAAACTGAAAAAGATCCAAAATAAGAAACTACAATCATGGATTACCACAGGCATCAAAGGTCATGTAAAGAAAACGCAACATGTATAAAATACTAACAAAACACATGTAACTCAAACTCATTTCATATTACAAAATATAATTCGATCCTAAAAAAGTTATCAAACAAGCAAAAATTATAACAAATGATAATTGCATTGCAAATGCATGTAATAAAATAAAAGCCATGGGACATCATTAAAAAAGACTACAGCACCAACTAATAATAAAAAAAACAACAATAGAGCTCCACTACAAAAAACAAAATGTACAAGACCACAAGAAATAGCTATTATATTCATGAACAATTTTCACAAATTATAAAAGTTAATCTCTCAACACTCTTCCTTAACAATAAACACAACCAAACAAACACTAATATTACACAAAGTGTAAATATTCATATTTTTATATGGAAACCATCCCTCTGAAATTTTTAAAATCATTGGACAAATGAGAATAAATTTTCGCAGCATGGACAACATTCCAGATTTCTTATTTAAACACAGTGCTCCATGTATAGTGCAACACTCTCTCACATCTGCAATTACTCTTTAAAATCAGGCCATTATTCCCAGATATATCAAAACAGCAAAAATTAAACCATTGTTTAAAAAGGGCAATATTATCTAACCCAATGAACAACAGACCTACTCTCCCTTATCAGATTTTCAAAAAATTCTGGAAAGACTTTTCAAATGATAGACTCAAACACGTTTCTCAAAGCAAATTAATGTCCTTACAAAGCACAACATGGCTTCAGGAGTAATAATCACAGACACAGCCATCTTCCCCTGCTTTTAAATGAATACTTGTTGCACTAATTCAGAAGGAAATTCCCATTGCACCTTTATCTTAGTTTTGTCAAGAAGCCTTTGACATCATTGACCATCAACTACTTTTAAGAAAACTAGAAATGCTAGGGATTGTGCATACGCCACATGGATCAAATGATATTTAGTCAAACCGTAGACAAATAGTTGCCTCCAACACACATAAAGAAAACAAAATGTCACCTCATACGTAACTCCTGTCTCAAATAATAAGATTGTCGAGTCCCCACAAGATCCATCCGTTGGGCTATTATATTCCCTATATACATAGCCCAAGACATGCCGTTGCTCTTAAGGAACACAAAATAATTTTGTTTGCAGATGACACTAACATCAATCATCAAAGCAAACAACACATAAGAAATCATTAGAAATAAAAAAACCATCAAAACTTTGCTAAGGACTAGCTAAAATGGTTCAAGACAAAACCAACTCATCATAATTACCAGCAAAGACAGTCTCTCTAAAATGTCAATGAATCTTTGATCTAAGAAAAATCTTCACAGCATATGCTCATAAAACAATAACCCTGTAAACGATATCTCATAAAACTAACCGTCTCAGACTAAACAATCAAAGAACTAAAAATGGAACACTCATACATCTAAATCTTACCAAAGAGCTCAGCAAATCTTGCTATGCCCTAATCCCACCCGCAGGTCAAGCTCCAACATTGTAACACTAGTCGAACAATGTATGTTGCAAATGTGCACTCACACTAAAAATGTGGCCAATAATAATTCTTGGGAAATGCCGTAAACACTCGCACATTATTTCAAAAAAGAATTACTGCGAAACAATACCCAACACTTCATAAGCTGGAGCCCTCTTTGCAAACCCTGTGTTTAATAAACTAAGATTCTATCCATCTACCATGCATTGTACATATTTTGAACATAGTGGTTCTTCACAAAGAAAATTATCATGGAAAACAAAGACCTTTTACTTTAATTTCTGACCTTGTGACATAAAGAGCTACACGTATACTCCAGTCGCCCAACACGAGCATTAATCCTAGCATATTGATCCCACCTCCTGAACTCACCCACTCTTCATCAGACTAGCCGCCCCCTGTACACCTGGAAAACTAAAGAGAGCAATCTCTACACTTTGCCCCAATACAACAGAAACTAGGGCAAAAATAAATATCCAAAAAAGACAAACACAATTTCATACATATCTAAAAGTAGACATTAGAAAAGCCTACTCCTGCTCCTAACAAACAGGTTCTACACGTGTAAAGGAATTTTCAAAATATACATATCCCTTTAAAAAAATATAAATAAAATAGAATTTCTTACCTTTAGACCTGTCTGTTTCATGTGAACTGTTTCAATTCTGATGCAAACACAAAAAGAACTGATATCGCAATCCTGTGCACCAATAGCGAGAATAGAAGAAGAAAAAAAAACTAGTGCGTCAAAACTTGCCTCCTCCACCATTTAAAGTTATAATATTAAAATGTCCACTACTATTGTTAAATTTGTTGTTGTTGCAAAACATAACTGATACGATTATTAATGTAATTATTATTAAATATAATTATAATTTAAAGTAGTAGCATTAAAATAAATATTAAATGTTAATATATTATTATGTATTTCTACCAAATGACCCATCTCGATCAGGTTTTGTTCAGTTATCCCTGAGCAAATGCTAGAGATGCCCCTTGTTTGCTCCCCCTGAACAGTAATATAACGTTTGCTCCTCTCCACCAAGCAGCAATTGGACTCGTGCATACACGATTTTAATTGTTATGTACTCCAAATAATAATAATAATAATAATAAAATTAATAATTAACTAATAATAATTAATAATAATCAATATATAATTATTATTAATAATAAACAAAGCATTCACCATTTCTCAGACGATCATCGAAAAAAACATTATCTGACCTGAATGAAGTCGTTAGGCTTCCCGCGACCAGTAGTATGTGGGTATCTGGGCGCCAGACCAGCCCTCTAGGAAGACACGACAAGATGGTCGAAACGTCGCAACTCAAGCCTTCGACGCGCCGTCACCCGGGACACCCAGATCACCCACATACATTATCTGACCTATAGAATATCGTGGTTTGCATTGAATTAAGAAAAAAAATGAAATGTACTATACTGAATCTACATGTACAAGTGTATAGATAAATATAGATATGAAATTTTGTATTATATATTAAAAAATTGTATGTATTAAATTGTATACTGTATTGTATGTGACAATGTATGTATTTTTTATATTCAATGTAATTGTTTGTATACTAATAGTATAGTATTAAATATTATTTTGTAACTCCTATTTTATGAGAAAATATATTAGTTATGTTAAAATTTGTATCAGTCAATAGTTTGTTAAACTCAATTCATGACATGGTCTAAAATGGTACTTGTAGTATCAAAGAACCAAAATAAATTATATTAATAATAATAATAATAATAATAATAATAATAATAATAATAATAATAATAATTATTATTATTATTATTATTATTATTATTACTACAACTACTATTATTAAAGAAATATCGTAAATATATTCGAGATGTGTTGAAGTCTGTTTTGAGACCTTTTGAATTCCATCGACTCGCCTGAAATATTAGAGCAGTTTGGCCTTGGATGCACCAGGCCTAATTTGGGTACAAGAAGACTTGTGAATGTGAATAATTTCAATAGGAATTATGTCATCTTTGGGCCATACAGTCCTCACATCCTTAAATAAACAATTATCATAAGAGTTTACTTTTCACTACTATAAAATAGAAAATTTACATACTACTATCTTTCACTAAAAAATATTATCCCATTTTATCAATTTTTTTGGCTGACTGACATTCAAAAACTTTTGAGATTTCAAGAAACTCATGTGAGATCATTTCAATCCACAAAAGCATTAACACAGCTGCAATGTACCTGTATATATTATGGATGCTTGGGGGTAAAAAAGAACACAGTGTTAAAAATGTACATTTACTATATCTAAAATTGTAGGGAAAGAGAGAGCAAGAGAAAGAAAGGATCAATAACTTTCGTCCAATCTCAATTCTGTCATTTTGCCCAAAATCTAGAAGATAATATGGAAAAAACAACTGACCTATTACATCAATGATACTCATACTGTGCCTATGATGCAATTGGGTTTTTGTGCAGGACAATGTCAGAACCTTTCTTTTCTTGAGATGTCTAATCAGGACATTAAAGCCTTTGACAACACTAAGTTATCATTCTTCAAGTCAGTTGCCAATTTAAAGATTTGATACCATCAATCATGTGCTTTTGTTAGTAAAATGTCACTACTACAGGCCTTTGAGCAATAGAATATAATGGTTGTGCAGTTACCTTTTGTCATGATCCCAAAGTGTTTATCTGAATGATGGTCACATTTCTGATTTTCTCCCTGAGAAATTTGAAGTACCTTAAGGTTCAATCTTAGGACCTACACTTTTAATCTTAATGTTGCAACTGTATCCCAACTATCCTTGTAATTGCAAAACAGGATCATATTCCTGATGGTACAACCAATTTCAAATTTCATTTAATTCTTTTGTAGTGTTATTTTGTTTGTAAATTATTTTATTTTACATTATATTGGTGCTATACTTTTATGATGAATTTATGAAATTTTCAATACAAATAAACATTATTACTTTTACAGTATTACCATTGTATACAGAAACTGATGGTTGGATGCCTAGACGTCTGTAAATAATGCCTCATCCCCCTGTGTTTTTACTCTTCAGAGCAATGCAATGATGTGTACAATTTACTTTACATGTGTATAAGTGGTTAACTTACTGGCCATTAAACCCCCACAGTGTGCATTCAATTCCAACAAAGGTACGGGATTTTTTAAGGTCAGGAAATTCACAGTGTGTTGGTGCTACTTGTGGTATGTAAATGTTCCTTGACAATGAATTAATTTTGTTTCTGGACTTTACAAATGTATGTTATCTGTTCTGTATGAAAAATCCATGTTTTATTGTGGGTCCTGTTTTATCTGTCCACACTGCAGTATGGAGCAAGAGCATCCATCTCTTGGCCACCCATCACAAGGATAGCAACAGAGTTCATCATGTTATTCATCAACTTACGACACAGATCATCGTTTAGCTCCAGACACCAAATGAAAGCTACAGTAAATTGCCATAGGATGGTAATTAGAAAAAAATTAGATTTCTAGGAATAGTAATAGGTCTGATTTATAAACAACTAAAAGAAAAAGGTAAGTGAACACTTTTACAACAGTTAAATTCATAGCTTTATTAAAATGACATTTGATTTTGGAAAAAATGTAAGTACAAGTTAATGCATTTACACTATGTACAATTATAAAAATTATCTCTTTAATAAAAATAAATAATAATCACAATGTTTACAGGTGTGTGAGAGTACCGAAGACACCATTTTTTTTTCCAGAGAATTCACGTTAAAAACATAATTATACATTAGTTATTTCAGTAGAATGTTTTTTAAAACAATAGAAATGAACAATCATGCTTTTGACTCCATTTGTGCATTAACAGATCAGCAGAAATGCTAAGTATTCTACACCTTTCTGGTCCCATGGATTTTGGACATATACACATTTTCTTAATACAAATTTTAAATATTTCTTTAATTACAAGATTATGTACATTAAAAAAATAACAACATCAGAATCTATCCACGTTGTAAAATTCTGCAGTCTAACTTCTCTGAGCAAAAGTAGTAACAGCTGTTTTATTTCGGATTTTGGAGAAGAAAGAGCCTTTCCAAATGTTAAAACTTGTATTTTTTACAATTCTGAGATTTATGAATATTTTTTACAAACAATGTACTCAACTACAATTTGTACAATTCTTCCGTAAGTACAGTCGAGATCTGGTTAACAGAATGGAAATGTTGAATTTCAAATAACAGGCAAGATAATAGTTTGAGTAACAGCGAATGTTGTTGCGGAGCACTTTACTTCACATCATTTTATCTTCACAATGAAACTAAATTACACCTGGATGAACTATCTATTCGATTCTTTCTTCAAAGAAATGAGACATTGAGGATGGATAATAAAAGCCATTATTGTGAGAAATGCATTTCCTACTAAACAATTCATAGGAAAGGCAAATACATGGGCTGGTCAAAGCCAATGATATAATGTACACAAAACTTGAATCATTCAAGTCAGAGAATATACAAATAAAAATTTACAATATAAAAATGAGATTCATTATCTAATTGACAATTATAATTATAATCCACGAAATTTAACTTCTCTTCTTTTCTTTTGAAGTAAGAACATCTTCCTTCTTCTCAAAATATTCACAATGGTTCATGTTGCTCACAGAGATATGAATGTAATATTTAAAGAAACAATTTCAAGAAGTCTTCAATATACACTGATATTTCAATCATGTGCCACACTTTTGTATCACAGATGTTCTGTAAATAAATGGGACATCTTGAAGGCAGAGCAAAGCAAATTCTTTTCAAGAGTTTTGCATTTTAAGAATATCTTGAAATGCAATAACCTTTGTACTATTAAGTTACAATTTGCAAACTCATTTGAAGCAGTCTCACAGATGTCTCAAGTTGGATAAAATGCATATCTAGAGGAAGCTATGCTTGACTCAACACTTCACTGGAAAAGAAAAAAAAAATAGTGTAATAATTTAAGAATAACTGCACTATATTTACATTAAAATATACAAGTTTGGTACTAAAAGCATACAATCCAATTTTGCAACTATATATTCAAATACTCACTTCGATAGTTCTCTGCCACTTAATGCACCCCCAACAAGGCCAGATCTGCTTCTACTCCTATTCAACTGAGCCCGCCTTTCAGCTACAAAATACGTATCTATATTAGTTATTTTGCTTTTAGTTTATACCAAAAAAATTAGAAAATCATTTTTCTTTTTCAGATAAAAACATTTCTTCTGTGTTTGTTAAAATACAAAAACACACAAAATTTGCACCCAAAAATACCCTCATTTGATAGATAAGTGAAAGATTATTTGAGCTGGATAATCACATACTAAAAATCAGTATAATACATGCACATACACACTAGTATTACACTGCACAAGACCAACACAATGAACCACAAACATGTTGCTGCTAGTCATTATTCATGGCTATAAATTACTGCTTATTGAATGAAATGTCTTTTTCATTTACCTATATATTGTTTTTTTCTTTAAATATGAGCTTTTAGCAGTATCCAGTATTTGTTTAAGAGTGGAGTTCATCACATAATGCATGTTTGATGATGTTAAATTGTTTACTAAGCAATTCCTTCTCAAAATCAAATAGCTTAGACACAAATAAACATGTACATTTCAGCAATTTTATAGCAGTGTTTGATATGAAATATTAACATACGAATTAATGCTAACAACAACAAAAAATTGTACATAGCAGTACAGTCATACTTGCTTAAATGGACATTTGTGCACACCCATGTGCACACATGTGCTCATGCTTACACAGGCAGATCCCCCCTCCACACACACAACCACTCACACACCCCAGCTCCTCTCCCCGCACTTAAGAAAAAAAACAAAACAAACAACAATCTGTCACCTCCAGCAACACGTGGTCGAGCTCGTTTCTGTCTCTGATCTCTACTAAATGCCGAGCCAGTTTGAAGAGCTTCCAAGAGACTATCCATAACACCTTCTTGAGCTTCTCCTTTGATATCCACTAAAGCACGTTTGCGCTCAATTCTCATCAATCTCTCCTGCTCTGCCTTTTCACGTGCTTCTCGTGCTCGTCGGATCTTTTCTTCTTGTTCTCGTTGTTTAATTACATCTTTATGTGCTTCCTGGAAATACAACAGTCCTTACTTTAACATTACTTTTATATATATGTACTTCACATAATTCAGGAAAGTAGAAATGTAGGATTTCTATCTATTTCTTCTCTGAAATGCACCTAGAATATTACATTTTCCCTGCAACTGAAAGTGTTATTGTACTATATACATGGCTGGATTACTCTTTTTGTAAGCCCTAAGCACTATGTTTTGTAGACTATGGAAATATGTAATCTATAATTTAAATCTTAAAATGTAGAATATTATGAATTCAATGTGTGCACTAAATTCATTCTGAAGCAGTACAAATTAAATTTTTACTAATATTTTTGACATAATAAATATAGAGAAACACAACCAAAAAATTACATGTAGAAAGTTTTCATTTTATAATTTGATGAAATTATTTTGTTTCTACTAATTTGTAAGAAAAATTCTCAAAGTGGCAAATTTGCAGACCAATAGTTTCCTCTATAAATGAATATTATCTTTGAAGATCCTAGACCCAATGCCTAGAGTGCCAATTGGGATATCCAGCCAATATTTCAGATGAAATATTCTATTCTATTCTGTTCTTATATAAGAACCATAATATACATACCACAAAGGAGTCTTTGAAAGTTTTTATGTCTGAAAAAAATTCTTCCAAAGAATATTTAGACCTTTCAAAAGCAAAATATTCAGATAAATCTGTAAATATAGAATCCATCTTCTGAAACATACTTTGCATTACTTCATACTGTTCACGGGCCTCTTTAGCAAAAGTCTGAATGAAGTCAAAGAACATACGCATTTGTTACATTATAATATAAACTAAACTTCAATGTACAACAAATTATTACTATTTTCTACTCATTGAAATAAAGATTATTGGAACCATTTTCATGAAATCTGCTTTTTTCAATTTAATTTAAGATAAAGCTAGATGATTATAACACAATATTAGCTGTTGCATCTTGTATTAACCAAAGTATTTACCCTTGCTTTCCAAATATAACATAAAAAATATATAATGTACTATTAAATTGTAAGCAGACAGGATTTCCATGCATGTGCTTGTTTGTTTATTGTAAATGCAAATGTAACCAAAAATAAATTTACTACAGCTTTTAAATTTTATAAATTTGAATCAGGTAAAACTTATTTAAAAATTGTATACTTTTCCAATGCCTGTACAGTGTTCTGGAACCATTCTGGAGAAAATCATGCACAATGGACCCTTATAAGTGTTTCCATACAAATATCATATTTTGACTTTTATCGAGCATGGTATGTACTTTTTCTTCTATAGAGTATGTTAACATTTAAATTGATGGATATTATGCATACTGTTCTGGGTTTAAAAACATCCAATGTTTCAGTGTGCTATTGTTATGTTGTAAAAATGTAATTTTTGCAGTCTAAATCATTTTTTAAAACAATCATAAATCACAATAATGAAAATTTGGAAAATAGTACACTGTTCATTGCTACAAAAGGTAATAAAATGAGTAGAATGCTAAAATTTTTGATAGTGCATATTTAACTTGTTTTTACCCATCAATGTTCATAACAACGGCTCATGTATCTCAATATGTTACCAATTTGAAATAATGACCTGAAAGAGATCATCTTCTACGAATTCTAAGGACTCGTATCACAGAAATGTCACTAGAAATTTATTAAAAGGATGGAAATTTAGTTAATGTTTATGAAGCTTGTAATGAAACTTTGCATTGATTTTTTTTTTTAACATTAAAAGTGTGCACCTTTGTAATATGAGTTGTTAAAATTAAGCAATCTAATTGGATAGTGTTATTTTGAGTATATCCTGTCCTCTAATTATAAGTTACTTAATATACATTAATGGGGATACAAATATACGAGAATAATACCATCTAGCATATCTGAAAAGGATACACCCATTACATCTGCAAATAAGTCATCTTCTCCTTGTCGTGTTTTGTTATTTGCAAGGTCAGTTTCTAAATTCCGAATACTCGCATCCATTTGTCTCAGCATTTTCTGAATGGTATCAACAGAGACTCGAGTAGCTCGATCAACATGACCCAGTTCCTCTGGGAAATTGAGTAAATCTGGGTACTTCTGTTCTACAGTTTCTGCCAAAAAGTGCATTAGTGTCATTTTGTTTTCAGCATCTTTAGTGTCTCTCAGCTATAAAAAACAACAACAAAAAAGTAAATATCAAATGAATTCTGATTAATAACTAGCTTTGACAACCAATTAAAAATTTATTTTCTTTCGATTGTTTATTACACAACCAAACGACTCTTAAGGTAATCAAAAACAGACACAGGAGATAGCAAGAAAAAAACAATACAAAAAGAAGAAAAGTTACATATCTATATTTAAAAAATTGTCTATAAGGGTCTATTCAAGGAGTAATTCAAATGCAAGAACTACATTACCAACGATTACATTAAATTGTTAGTATTTATTAATTCAATTACCTTAGTGAGAAAATTTATTTCAAATCCAAATGCTTGACTTTTGGCAGTTCCAGTATTCATGTAATTTCCAAGAAGAAGAATAAGTTCTAAAATTTGGGCAAACTTCTTACTATTCTTTACTTCCTCACAAGCTGCTGTACCTGCTACTATGTTCTAAAACAAAGATGTTTAATTACATTCTTTAGACATTCAAAACAAATAGGAATAAATAAAATTTGAGAGAAACATACAAGTTTATGAATTTAAATATGACAAAGCTTACCGGTTTAATATCTTGAACCATCTCAGATTGGTGCAAACGAAAAATCATTGACTTCAAACGTGGCAATAACCTTTTTATTTCACTTAACTGTTTAAAGAAAATATTAACCATTAAACATTTTAAACTACTGAAAAATGAAACTAACAAATGTTATAGTTATAAATATTTTTGGTTAAGGAATATATTTATTGTAGTAATTGGGAGAAAAAAAAGAGAGAGTATACTAACAGTGACACAAAATTGTTCTGCTTCTGTGAGGTCATTGTATTGAGAGCGGAATTCTTCTAGGCGACGAAGTTGATCTGGAGGAGGAAGATACTGAACAAGCTGCTCTAGCACACTTCCTGTCAGTACAGTGTCATCACATCGCAGAATGAATCGCTTTACATCTTGATAACTAAGGTGCTTCAGACAACCTCCCATTAAGATAGCAATATTTTGGGCCACTTTACTATCCAAAACCTTAAGTTCTTTTGTTTTCTTTCCAGTACCACCATTAGTACCCCTAAACAGAAACATATTATACTTTACAACTATTTTACTAAGTATATAAATATTTTTTTATAATTCTGATCATAAATTTTTTTTTCTTAAGTTTCTTAAAAAATATTTTCACTAAAAAAACATGATAAATGCTTGTTACTAGTTCAATATTAAAAAAATATCATTATTATTATTATAATTATAATAATTATTATTACTATTATTATTAAACTAATATCTTACTTGTCAACAGCATCATCAGTTTTCTTAACTACAGGTTTTGTGGAGAATCTCTGAGAAAGTTCACTAAGAATATCAGCAGAAGCCAACTTTTCTTCTTGAACTTTAACCCAAAAGGCCTTCTCAGACATTTTCTTGGGATCAATCTGCAAACAATACATAAACCTTGTAGTTTAAAAATAAACTTTTGAAATTGATATCTCTTAACTTACAAATACTCAAATGTTTCATTTGATAATAAAACATTTTCACCATGAATGGTTTTAAACTTACTGTCTTCCAATTTGCTCTCTTGACAGGTGCAAGGAGATCCCATTTCTTCTTGGGTTTCAATCCATGCGGTAAGACTTCCATGACAGGTGCTGCTGGTATACGGAATCCTCCAGGAGGCATTGGTGGGGGAGGACCCATGCCAGGCATCGGAGGAGGAGGAGGAGCACCCATGCCAGGCATTGGAGGCGGCGGTGGTGCTCCCATGCCAGGCATTGGAGGTGGAGGAGGAGCACCCATGCCAGGCATTGGAGGTGGCGGTGGCCCTCCAGGCATTGGTGGAGGTGGGGGCACACCCATTCCACCAATCTGAAAAATACAAGTGATTAAATACGTAATTTATTACAATGAATTATTGTTTTCAGATGCAATTATAATGAAACCTCTACAAGACAACTTTACTTATATTTCCTTTAGCAACTAATGAAATTACATTAAATACTCATCACAACTAGAACTTAAACACTGCCCCTTTTAATTTTTTTGTGAGAAAAATGTAAGGGGAAAAAGAGCATAGGAATAAATAAGATAGGAATTAAATTTCTTCCCAGTGCCATAAAAAAAAACAACAATGTCTGAGAATAGAGATACTTACAATAACATTAAAATAGCGAATCATGTTTAAAATATAGAGGCTATTTAAACCTTTCAAAAAAGAGAACTGAAAGATGTACAACAGAAAATTTATTTCATATAAGTCAAAAGTATCAAACTGTCATTTGAAAGCTTATAAATTTGCTCTAATATAAATATTTTTAGAGCCTAATTTTCTAACTCTATTCATAACACACAATTCCATTACCTTGAGCCTAATGAATAATGTGCAAACCACACACACACATACATATAAATATTCAACTACCCCGAATTTTATTATCTGACCCTTAATATACTTTACCTTGACTCCACCAGCTCTAGCTAATTGTTCAAGTTCACTAATTTTCTTTTCTGCGTGTGCAAGTTTTGCTTCTGCTTCTTGTCTAATGGCTATAGCTTCTTCTAATTTCCCACTCAGATCAGCAACTTTTTGAGAATCTTCCATTTGAGATTTTTCTGAAAAATAAGTTCAGATATTTATTTTAAAAAATTAAATAGGCATAAAGAAACTGGATGTAATTTAATTCTTGTATAAAAATGCAAATTTCACAATCAGAATACAACATTAATATAGAAATTGTAATAACTGAAAAGAAAATATCTTAATGAATGGAAATATTTTCTTAATAAAACAGTAAGTATCTTCTGAACAATTTCTGTTAACTGAACTTTGAAAATATAAAAATACAAAACTAACCAACAAGTGTGTCAATAAGTGGTTGTACATCAATATGAAAACGACGTGTAGCTCGGAAATCTGGATCACATCCACCCCGGTGCAACACAATTTGTGATACACATTCTTCTATTAACTTGTAGTATTGCGTTCTGAAAAAATATATTGATTCAAGTTATTGGAACAGAAGAATGACATGAATGATGAAATACTAATACTAATAATAAATATCATTCAAAAGAACAGACAAAATGAATAAAAGTACAAATAAGAAATAGGTAACATTATTGATGATAATCTGCTAATGCAAGCAACAGGCCATACCTGATAAGACTGTCATCTCGAATGAACAGTAAATGTTGTAGAATGGAAAGCAGAAATGGTTCAGCCATAGTATCCATCACCATGTTCTTGATAACTTCAAAACAATCATTAACGTCATCCAGCTCTAATCGAACATTATCAAATCTTTGGATGAATTCATTGTAATCATCTTCCTTATGATCATTAAATATTTTTACTTGTACACTTAAATCTTCACTACAGTCATTTTCTAAAGTCTGAAAAACAATGTTACTTACAACATATGCATCTTTGTCTTTTCTTAAACCAAAGTATAGAAATGAAATAATTATGGAAATTTACCTCAAGGATGTCAATCAGACCTGCTCTCATAACTTCATTACGAAGATGTAATCTGAAGTCCAAATCTTCTGGTGATTGTACAATGGCATTTATTAATTGTAAACAGGCAGTCTAAAAATGAAATCATCGTGATCACTGAATTACAGTTCATCTGATCACCAATCCCAGTAATAGATTGAAACAAGATTAGTAGTAAAGAAAACGAATGCTAATCATATCACTATTAACTCTCGCACAATAAATAATTACTCCAATAAAAAATTCAAAATGCTAACATTCATTCACAGGCAAGGTGGTCTCAAGGTGGTTAATGTGTTTGCATGTTTGTTAAGTTCTAAAACTAACAACAGAAGTTACCAATAATTCTAAATCAAATAAAGAAATAATTAATAATATAATTTAATCTTTCAGGAAGTGTAAATGACAGTAATTCTAACTTACTTTCAGAGATTCATTCCTAATCATCAGACCCTGACAGATAGGTTGGAATCTTTCCCGGCCTTTCAGCTCTGCACTCATTGTTATTGCTTCCAAGGCTCTTTCATGTCCATCTGGCTGCACTAAGCAAATAGCAGCCATAAGCTTAACAGCTTCTAGCATGACACTCTGCTTGTTAGGATCCATAGAACGGGCTATAATGGTGAGAGCTTCTCTTTGGCCAAATACTTGTCTCAGACCAACTGTATTGTTCATGATAGCTTTTAAGCAACGGATACATTCCAGTTGTATTCTATCATATTTGCTATCACTAAAAAATGGAAAGTAAATTTTATTTTTTTTTTAATTAAGTTGATGTTTGTTTTGAAACAACACAATAACAATAATAATACACTATCAACAAGAAACTTCATTTTGTAGTTACTCACCAGTCACTACAGCACAGTTCCGCAAAAAGGAACAAAATATAAAGTAATATTACCAATAATAATCTCAATATATTCTTAAAATAATATTTTAATATAATGAACTAAATTACATCCTAAATATTACGGTGAATAATAAATTCATAATTTCTCCATAATCTTATCATTTCCCACACTTCAGAAAAGAGAAAAAACAACATTTTGTGAACTTTGCTCACTACGTTTATCTCATTAAAAATATAGCTATTGAATTCATTTTATACCAAAAATTGACATATATATATTCACTTACTTGCGGTAACACTCATTAAGAATGGACAAAACACTCTTTAATCCTTTGGTTCCAAATTCTTCTACCCAGCTCACTGTGTTGTTGGTGAGAGCAATACGAAGACTTTCAATACATGAGTACATTTTGTTGGTACTCAAATCAGGGGTGGCAAGATATTCAATGTAATCTACAGGCTTATCAAATTTGTTTCTATTTTCCTGTAAATTAATGTTTTTATAACACAACTTTTAGCATAATATTACTTTCTTGCACAAAAATAGTTTGCACTCATTTTACAAAGATTTTATGCACTGTAGTACATTTTATGTACTATTGAAATAAATTAGAGTATACCATCCATGAGAATAATTTTTTTTAAAGATTTTGTTATTATTCTCACCTGGTATAAACCTTTATAATGCATTAGGAGCATCTTTTTCTTTACTTCAACTGATTGATTTCGTAAAGGTTCTTTCTTCTCCTCTGAAAGATTCATATCGTTCTGTAACACCAAAGAAAAATAATTCATTATAGTTATAAATTATTATTATCCTCTGATCTCAAAATTCTTGAGACTTTACCCCAAAACATTCTCCTCACAATTTTCAATTATTATTTTGTTCTCTTGAAATCTTATGACAGTTTGTAAAGTTTATCATATGGTAAAATTATTCAAGTTGCCTAACACAAGTCTTCAAGATAATGCAATTGCAATGTTTTTAATGGTTGTATCTATCATACATTTAAAATATCTTTGTTTCATAGAAAAATACTGAATTTGAGATAAAAGTGTGCTTTAAATATAAAAAGCTTTGGCCTAAACCAACATATTTATTTTTAAATAAAAATTATTCATTAATGCTAATCAGCAAGTTGCTAGACGATTCAAATAGGTGTACACAAAAACCTTTAGATTACTGAAGACCAGGACTTAGGAAGTAAAATTTGTAGAGGTAATGTTGTTGAGTAAAAACAGAAATATAAAAATGTGAAGATGGTTTTCAAATGAGAAAATACATTCCCTGCATACCTACTTTTCAGAGAATATACGCAAAATAAATGATAAAAATAATAATATGCTCCCTATCAAATTATGTATTGTGGGAAGGTCTTTTCCAAAATGAAGACAATACTATCTGATAAAAGGCACTTCCTATGAAGAGAGAATCTTTAAAATGTTTGTAAGATATACTTTGTTCACAATGCTAAATAAAAAGGGGAGAAGTGATTTTAATTTTCACCATCTTTCTCTATAAAATACGTGAGTGTTGTTGCAAAATACATGTTATTAATGTTTTTATAACCAAAGGTTGCATGTTTTAAAAATTTCTGACTTCATATTTCATATTTCAATGTTATTGTAGCATATTTTAGGGGTCAAAGGCTTGCATTAACTTTCCACCCAGAATTATTATTATTATTATTTTTTTATTCTTCAACAATTAGAATTTGTTGCTTCAGAAAATTAACAAATCCTAGTTGCCTGCTACAATGCACAAATATAAAAATAAGTTCTCTGAAATTCATCATGAGAAATTTTATGATGGTATAACTATCAAAATTTATACACTGAAATGGCCCAATGTACCATCAGATTAAACAAAAATTCTTTTAAATTAATAAATTTCTTTGACTATAGGGGCTTAAAAGATTAACAATGTTAAGTACACAATGTTAAGAAAATACTGATTACAACCAATATATATTACCAGCATGTCTTCTAACTTGTCATTGAGCCCTAGTTCATCTAGTTGTTCAATGTATTGTCGCTGCTGGTCCTCCACAACATTGAGCTCAGATTCAGAGTGTGGGCGGGGGACCTGCCCACCACCTGCCCGCCCCCCCTTTCGGGGACGCGAGAAGATGGTGTCCAGCTGCAACAGAGGAAAATAATATATAATGAAATGAAACTTAATTGACAAACACCAAATAGGAAACTTGAATTGCTACAGTTGCAAATGACATGGAAAAACAATCAATATGAGTATTCTCACAATTGAGAGATTTAGGACATCACATTACACACTGATCTGGATATTCATATTCAACATTTACAGGGAAAATAAAATGAGTCTGAACATACTTCAAAATCTAGTAAGAAAAAAAAATGTACTAAGTGGATCCTATAAATCAAATTTTAAATTAAATATTAATGATTATAATGACAAGTACATCATATTCCCTAGATTTGGACACTTTCATTCTTGAAAAGAAGCAAATCATCTCAGAAATTGCTGAGGAACTCTTTCTTCAATAAAACACAATGTCTTCAGCTAATTAAAAAAATTCAATTGAAGTCATAATATTGTGCTATTATTATGAGCAGCAGTTTCAAAATTCTGATGATACATGAAAACATAATTGATACTTTTCTATTTGCACATACCACTCCCTCATATTTCTTGCTCTCAGTTCTAACAAATTTGCCAACATCTGAAAATTTTTTATTGAGTGTTGAAAAACGTTTTAATGTATAGGCCTGTGCCATATCATCTGCCTTTGAGCATACTACCCAGCAGAACGCAAACACCTAATAGTGTGTACAGCTTTATGTAACACAAGATAATGAGTCTCATGGTTAGCAATGCATGTACAAACGTGAGAATGAACAGATCAGTGCTTGGAACCTCTTTACAGCACAGATACAAATTAAAATTGTTGGCAAAATTCTCTTTATAAATAATATTCCGAGTAAAGAAGACGGATTTTGAAGGTTGATAAAAAACCAACGAATCATGCTTATAAGTGCATCACTACTGAATATGGTATTAACCCCTCCCCCACTTCATCAAATACATTTAAGACGAAAACCATATAGTTCGCAGCTTAGCGTAAGTGGAAAATCAGGTGCACATGCAACCCACACATTAGGCTGCCACAGACTTTACCTTCGTGCATAATAAGGAAATGAGGCGCCCTAAGGACTAAAGATCAAATTTCCGTGTCTCACAGAGACACGAAGGATTTTCCTTTCTCGCCCTCACGAAGGTACTTCTTAAGAAAACGTTATGTAATCGTGCGGCGGAAAACGGAGAATTTTCGGCAGAAATCCGCTGCTAAATACAGAAGGGGATCCTCTAGCACGTGACGTAGCCAGAATCCATGTTTTGTGGGTCCTTGATACTGAAAAGTCGAATTAAGGCACAGCTGTCTGTCTGCCCGTCTTCCGTCCGTCCGAGCTAGTTTCGAATGAAAAATAAGGTTTTTAACTTATCGATGGCCACAGACAGTACTAGCCAATACAGCCGTAACCGTTTGAACAAAGTGAGTACAGTTCTATTAGCCCAGTCAACTTAGAGTGAAAATATCCCGGAGTTTAGAAACTTGGCATGATTGTTTGTTCGAACCCTCTGCACAACAAACTAAAAAATCCTGAAGTGAGGGGGATGAGCCGGGGGATGGACGGTGCTTTTTCGAAGTTGTTGTTGTTGTTTTTTAATTTTTTTAAACATTTTTTCTTTAATTTTTTAAATTTTTTAACGTATATCTCCATAACTGTCAATCCCACTGAAAAATATATGTATAGAATTAAGTAGATACAAGTTTATATACGATTTTGTTCTAAAATGAACCATTTTAGAGTTATAGGCTTGAAAAGTTCTTGTTTCGGTTTACAACGCCCTAATTATCTCCCTTATAAAAATGATTTGATAACTTCAGTGCTCAGAAGTAATTGTGCTTTTGTTCAATATTTATCAACAATATGTATTTCCAGATCTTGCGCAAAAACAGGAACATTTAACACATTCACAAATCTTACTTTGTATATAGACTTCCGAGTATCCGTGGTCATTGGGGTCCCATTTACCATGGGGTACAATTGAGATTACCTCGGGTACGAAAACTGGTAATCCAGAGTTTATTTGATAAGGATCGAGAACAAATATTTGGTAGATCATTGTCGGAACAACATCGAACAGAAGACGTTTTGTCGTCATTCGATTTATCAAAGTCGATTCGATTCGATTATTATCAAAGACCCACAAAACATGGATTCTGGCTGCATCACGTGTTAGAAGATTCCCCCCTAAATTTAACAACTGGATATATCCACTTTTTCGTTACCAGGGCCCTTTAATAAGTGTTTTCTGCCGTAAATTCGCTATTGTTTTCGCGCAGCATTACATTACTTTCTACTGCGTAAGCGGAAAAAATATATATATAAAACGCACGTGATAAAAGTGATTTCATTTTGCTCGCCTACTTCTTCCAGTTGCGACATTTCCTACTCACAAAACAGCACCACCATAAATAACTACTGTTCTTTTAATTACGAAATATGTTTATAAACGTTGCGGCGGCACATAATGCAGCGCGTCCCCTGCGGATGAAATAGAAGATCAGAATAGAGAGAGTACTTTGAAGAGACTCGAGGTCGCATCGTTTCAGAGTTATGCATGATGGCGAAGTATGAATGTGTCGGCGTATATGTTTGGCGGATTGCATGTGATACTGTACGATGCGGGTTGATCCTGATAATGCAAATATGTCATAATCTGCGAGTATCAATGCTTTTCATCTTAAACGTGATTGGTGCTGGGGGATGTTCCCTTCTAGCGGTCATTAACTTACGAGGTTTTGTGTCCATGGTTTTCCATAAAAAGAAACAATATGCCAGCATTTGTTAGCGAATTGTTAAAATATTTTCGAACATTTCATTCACCTCCCATATAAAAAACAGATCTTTCTCAAGAAAACTCCTTTCTCAATTCCATATTATCCCTCGTTTGAAATCTTTAAATGGTATGCACGAAAAAATGAGTAGTTTTGTAAAAACACTAATAGGTGGTCAGAATGCGGTGCATTCTTACAAGTTTAAAGAAATCACGTTAACAAAGTATGTATGTATATATATGCACCCACCCACCCACACACACACATGATTTCTGTCGGAAAGTGACGGAACCTCGGGAACAAAATAGAGGAAGAAAAAAGCAAGAAAAAAAGAAGAAGAAGAAGAAGAAGAAGAAGAAAAAAAAGCGGAGGACAAACATTTGGCAGCTTCGAATAAATATAACTATACACACATTAGATTTTATGTATTAATTATTCTCAAGACACTTCGTATTTTTAATTACTATGTCATTGGTCGGATTTTGTCAGGAAATATTCAAGCATAGTTTAACCAAACTGCAGAGAATGTTAGCAGCAATAATTCGTCGACATTTCTAGACGAAAGGTGGGAAAAAGCATTACGAAGGCACATGCAATGTCGCATCTATCGCTAAGAAACGGTGATAGTTCGTGCGGCGTTTTTTCCTGATAACATGGAAAAGAGCCTTTGACGTTAACAAAGGCGTATCGCCAAGGACGCGGAGTTACAAAACGCAATGGCAAGAGCAAGTTCACGGGTACTTCACCACCGACTTCTTTTTCTTGTCCGTGAGAGAACCTTTCCAACGAGTTTGCGACGATTCTTTTCAATCTGAGAATCAATCTGAGTCAATATTTTCACAGATCAAAACACTAAAAATGGTAAATAAATTATGTCAGGTTTGGAATATGTATGAAAATATTAGAATTAACATCAAGTATTGTTTGTAAATTCCATTTTAGTTACACTAGCCTTTAATACACATATAATAAAGATAATGAGTATGTATTACGACAAAGGACCATATAATGGCGTTTATTATAGTATTCAATACATCATCCACTACAGATGTCTATAATTATAAAATACGCATAAGAATCGTATCCATCAGGTTTCAGAGCTCACTTTAAAACATTCAACCCCCAATTCACATAACACATAAACAATCGTACAGCTCTTGGAGGATTATTGAATTATTTATTCGGATATTGCTTCTTTCCAAATCTTTGTTAGGTCAGAACGAGTAACCATTTTTTTGGAACCGAAATTTAATCCACACACTCTTTGGTACAATATCTAAAGTAATAACGAACAATGATACATACAAGAAACTTCGTCGCTATACTTTTTGAGGGTATTACATTTTCCACTTACTACATGCACTCTTGTGTCAAATGTACACCCCACATTCTATGTATATAGACTCAAGAGTGGATCCAGCCGATCTTTTTTTTGGGGGGGGGGGATAGATATCATATATAATTGTTAAATAATAAACATATTTGTTATTACATTGTTATGTTATACTATATTATTTTTGTATTGTATATATGAAATACGATATTTAAAAAAATAATTACATAATTCTAATAAAAGTAAATATTTAAATCAAGTTTCCAAATTCCTCAAAGATAATTTTGAATCCAAAGACTATATTATCTTGGTTACTCATCGGCGTTTTGAAAAGTACGAATCTCAATTTACGAATGAAGTTGACATTACTTAAAAACTTCGCAGTTCTAAATGTTAAACTTCCTTTTGCTCATTGTGTGCTGGGAATATATTTCATTGCATTTAACACACAAGTTTCTTCCATTAATTCACATACTGTGGCTGTGGTAAGTTTCTTGTCGTAAGACTCCGATGCAAAAAGCACGTTAGTCTACACACCGCTGAGATTGCAGGAGAGGATGCTGGGAGATAACATGTCTACTTCCGCTGCTGACAGATTTCTAAGCACTCTCCTCTTCAATGCAGTTGACAAAACTAATACAGGTCTAAAGGCTCTGGATTACGACTTGCCGCCTTAAAGAATTTACATTTCAATAAATATATTTAAAATTTAAAAAATCTCATACTAACAGGGTAAACTGTAGTACCTCTTGACAGATGAACCTACGGATAAAGCGTTTTCAAGGAGATGTGCGTTATATTACCTACATCGGTGTTGCCATTCAAGTAAAATATTTTCTAGTGTGAGATGTTTCCATGATTTTATAAGAATTTATAAGAGTTTTACGTGTCAAAAGTATTTCTGCATTTTACTTTCTTCACTTGGGTAATTAACTATTATTGCTTTACGAAAATCGAAGTAGATCCATACCTGTTACCGTAGGATGTAGTTAATACACGTTGAATACTTCGATCCTGCAGATAATTTAGTAATAGGGGTGAGGCATAATGGCACAGACTTTCTCGTACTAGTTTTATAATTTTTTTGGTATAGGCTAGCTTTTCGGTCTTGACACATGCTCTTGGCAGCTGCCAA